GCCTAAGAAAAAAATTTAGGCGCACCAGTGCAACCATGGCAAAAAGTTAGTCTAGAGCCCTGTTAAGACAATAAAAAGAAATACATAGTAATTTTATGCCTACTTGTAGGTTTGTTGCTCAAGTTTGCTTTTGATAAACTTAATGACAGAATCACTCCGAAATGCTACTGGAAATGTTATTTACCCTCTGGCTCAAGAAGCTGTGGAATCCCTAACTCAGTCTCGGCCAACAAGAAGGCTTCATGAAGATTTTCCCGATTGGGCCTTCCCCATACTCGCTCCATGTCGACAAGATTAGGCCGGAGAGCATTGATAACCGCGAAGAATGCTAAACCAGTACGCCAGCTGGGGCCAAAGTCCCTCACCTCAAGGCCCAGACTTCTAGAAAGGACAGAAAATTACAAGGTCACAGCAGAGAAAAAACAAAACATAACCTACAACCTGCAGCAACACTTGACCATCAAATCAGACTTCATACTTGGTGGCTGTCTGCTGGACCCATCTCAGTAATGCCTTCCTGGCTCCACCCTGCAGAGGAGGAAGGGTCTTCTTTTTGACGGGTGGGCTGGTAATCTCAGTGCTGCTGGTGGAGCTGTCCAGTGAGGAGATGCTGCTGGACAAGGTATGGAGTGCTGGTAGGCTACTGGTTAACTCCTCAATCTGGAAGCAACAGAATACCAACTAAAGTCAGGCTTAGCCACAGTTAGTGACATAAGGATATTAAATTCAAGATCAAAAGTGCTACATTTGATCTTGTTAGGTTTTCAGATTCCTACAGTGCGCTTTAGATCACGTAATCTGAAAATATAATCCGTTAGTTTTCTAATTCTATCAGGTCTGTTTGTGAGGCAAATAAGAAGCTCCACACTGGTACCCCACTGGTACTTTATTTTAAAGCCAGTTTAAGTAACTTTATACCTAGTTGATGAGCAGTGTTTTAGTTCTTCTGAAAGTTCAAAGTACCAGAAGTTTACTTATAATATACATAATATATTATATAATATACATCATTAAAGGAGGGAAAAATCATCAATTGTCACCCAAGAGAATTTAACAATAAAGTAGAATTCATCTAGAATTAATCTTCTACACTAATATAAGGTGCACAGATGTTGTCCTGACTAATCACCCAAGTGTCTCCCTCCTGTTTCTCATTCCCTGATTGCTCCTGTGTGTATATAGGCCCTGTGTTTTCTCCTGCTTGTTGCTGGTTCATCTGTGTTGTCTCCCTGCGGTTCTCCCTGTTTATCATGCCCTGTGTTGCTCTGCTCTCCGGCTCCTTCAGGTTTGTTACTTTGGTTCTTAGTTTTTCCTAGTTTAGGTGTGCTAGTTTTGTTCGTACCATCCCTGCCTTTTGTTTGTATGTCACTCGCCTTCAATAAAGCTCACTCACATCTCAGCCAGTGCCTTCATCTTGGGTCCTAATTCTCACTCTCCAAGTTGTTTGCTTAATTATTAGATCTTGTGTGTGACAATCTTTTCCTAACAACCTTATCAGGAATTGTGTCTGCAAATTAGCTGTGGCTTTAATCCTTGTATACATCAGCCGCATTTTACTTAAATATTATTATTTTTTTATCTGTGGTATCATTATATTATATTTTATTTATTGAACAAAGCAAAAATTGTGAATCTGTACGAATAGAGTCAACAGACATATTTAAGCAAGCATGTAAATTATTATATTGGGAGCTCAGTCTGATAATATCCTATCAGGCCTGCAGATGAGCCACAGTTTCTGTTCCCTAAAGTCAGCAGACTCAGAAAATCCATAAATAAAACAAATCAATATGTCAGTAAGTGAAAGTGTACATTTACTAGTGCACTACATTTCCTTTATTGAATATCCTTATGTCTGATGGAGTAGCAGGCATTTATGTGTACTGATGCTGCTACGAGAGTGGAGTATTAAGTTCTGATTTATTCTCTGCATGTCTGAATTACCTGAGGCAGATGCTGTTTATTTTGAGTGTAGGTACTTTTAAAGATTAACTTCTTTTTTTTATTTCCCTTTAGCTTAAATTGCTCATATATATATATATATATATATATATATAACTAGAAAAATACACATCTGCTCTCTCTGCAAACTGGATATTCTCAGCCATGTTAGCTGTCAGGTTATAGTAATATTCACATCATGTTCTTCTTATCACTGCTTTTCAAAAGATAACGCTGAATTATGTGCATTGAATCTGATGATCTAATCGCACTAATGCTGCAAAAAGTTACCTGGAAATAGAGAATGATGGTCCACACCAACCCCAGAACAATAGATGGCCGTCCATCCACGATGTCTGTTGAGTTGATGTTCACCAACTTGATCTGTGTCCAAACGCAGCAGCATTAAACGACACTATTAGAAGGTCTAGATATTTCCAGATCGCAGACTAATCTATCATTTTTTACTATTACCCCAATAAGCCAATTTTATTCAGAAAGTTAACAATAAAGAGTAAAATGAAAAAACACCCCACACAAAAAAAAAAAAAAAAAAAAAAGCTCAACATCTGGATTTAACTAACCAAAAAAGTAAGCGCCATCCATAGGATTTAAGAAGATTCAAAGCGTTTATTGTCATGTGTACCAAGAAAAAGCATTTCTCTGTACAATTACATTCTTTCTCTGCTGTCCAATTGCTCGAGTGTAACTGATGGTACGAGTAGCTTCTTGTTTCATAAGTAACGATATCCTATCTCATGACTTAAACATTCATCCTCAAGAAATAATTTCCCCCAGGGATCAATAAAGTATTCTGATTCTGATTCTGAAGATAGAAATTATGTAGCTGGAAAAAAATCTTGTTTGTGATCAGAGATCACTTAAATATTTGGCGAAATCAAATATAATGAATAAATAAGTCTACTAGTGAAAGTAGAAGCTTTTCCTTATACATATATATGTGAAGGAAACTGATGGGATTAGGACTAAACAACTGTGTAGGGTAAAGAAAACCACTTATCAGTAGCTTTAGTTTAGTTGGGAGCAAACAGGTTGAACTCTGGAACAATGGAAAAAGTGTTATGATTTGGGGTTGCTTTAGTTGATCTGATTCAGGAATATTATGTGGCCAAAAATACATGAGGTCAGTTGTCCAGGGAGCGTGAACCATCATTTTCACACATGGGTTGATCACCACAGACTTTAAACCTTAACCCTATTGAGAATCTTTGGGATGTGCTGGAGAACTGATCAGACTCAGATGGTGGCACAAACATAATGCATTTATGGACAAAAATAAATATTAGGACATTCATAAGATTATCTAAACCATACCACAGCAATTAAGTCAAATGAAATAAAAGAGCATGTGACTTTTTGGCCAGGCAGTATGTTCAAGTCCTACTGAGATTGAGAATCTCTTTTTCAATAGAGTGACGTAAAAGATAAAAAGCTGCACAAATACTAACGTTACACACATTAAAGCAGGTGAACTTAACATCCAGATTGAGAACAAAACAGCCACAGGTTCAAGCTAATTTCAGTGCATCTTTAAGAGAAATCACATGTAATCATCAGAACTCCTGCATGCAGATGTTTCTGACACAATTTATCAACATCACAAAGAAAAAAGTGGAGCAATGTTATGAATACTGACCGGAGATCCTCTGTACGCAGACTGGAGGCAGATGGAGGAGGAACAGGAAGAGGAGGAGGGGGAGAAAGATAATTCATAAGTACTGGAGATGATTGAAAGCAAACGCCTGATTGACTGTGAAAAGGCAGATACTGTAGCATCTCTGAGGTGAGATAACTTGAGTGGTTGGCTGAGAGGAGAGATCTATCACTACTACACAGGCAACAGGGATTATATCCAGCAGAGATGGACACAGAGAAAGGGAGAAAGGGGCCGAGTGGAGCAAGAAACGAGAGAGAGAGGAGGCTGTATCTTGTGATATGATGAAGTATTGTATATTATCACACAGAGGGTTGTATTACTGAGGCGCCGCAGCACAACAGGTCATCTAATGGTAATACCTGCCACTCCACACATGTGAACAAGCATGAAAAACGAGATTGGGGGCAGACGAGGGCAACGTGGGGAACCGTGGGATAGAGACTGATAAGAACATATGCAATACATGGTGTTATATTAAAAACACAGCAGGTTATCCTGGCAAATCAAAACAGTAATGCAAGGCTGGAGTGGTTAACAGAGGTATAGCGTGACAACACTGAAAACACACCAGTATAAAATGACAGCAGTAAGCATATACAGTAGCAGTAGTTGTGTTTCTTTGAATAAATTGTACTAAACTCTAAATAGTAAAACTAAAAAGTTATGAAGCTGTGTAAAGCGCTAACAAACTATCCATCCATTTTCTAAGTTGCTTATCCAGTTCAGGGTCAGGTAAACTGGAACCTACCCCAGATGTTTGCATGAAAGGTGGGGTAAACACTGGAGCGGTGACCTGTCCATCACAGGTAACCAATCATCTAAATTTATTATATTAATAACACGTCAAAGGCAACATATTAAATGATGAAACCCAAATTCAACCATTTTTTTTTTTTATAATTTGACTTTGAGTTCTTCTTTTATTGTTTA